TATATATCAACATATTTTATATATATATGGAATACTCAATTCTATATACCTTTCTCATATATATATCTGTATATATATATATATATACATACATATATATTTATGAAAAGTATACAGAATTGAGTTCTTTGTTGCTATTATTTTGAACAAATTGTATCAGATTAGTTAAGAATAAGAAAAATGTCTTGTTTTGTCTTCGGTTAATTATCCTTGGATGTATTTCCTTTTTGTACGTAGTCTTGAGTTTTTTACTTTATTATTATCCTGTACTCTAAATAAGTAAACCTTTTTTTTTTTTTTTGAGGCATATCTACTGGGACAAATTATCTGAATTTTTGTTTGAAAACTACTTTTTCATTTTTGGAGGATAATTTCACAGGATGCAGAACTCTATTAGTAATTTTTTTCTCTCACTCCTTTACTTCATAGCCTTGTATAATTTCTGAGAAGTCACATGGAGTTATTATCATTGCTTTTTGACAGTTAAGATGTTTTCCCCTCTGGTTGTTTTAACTTTATCTTTGAAATTCCATAACTTGAAAATATTGTCAGTATAACTGAAAAAAATGTCATTTAGAGAAATATTTATCCTGCTTACTATTCTGTGAACTTCTGGATGTGTAGTGTCATGTCATTATGTATAGGGTAGGTTCACTCTAGATTTGGGCAGACAGATAAACAGAGCCTTGGAGCCTTTAGTGTATTTTACACACTGTAATGCTCTCTCAGTGAAACAGGTACACAGTCATGATTGCTAGGGAGGCCAGGATAGGCCAGATGGGTCCAAGGATAGTGGGGACCCCTCCTAGCCTGGGGAATGTTTGCTTTCTTTCCCTGGCATTCTGGTCTTTTATTGTTGGTGACTTGCCTCAGATGGCAAATATGGTTGTAGTTGTAGTCATAGTCATAGTCATAGTGGCACCACCATTTTATCCCTGACCTCTTGGCACAAGTGTGAGCATTGTACATATGCACATCCATGCTTTATGTCCCAGGTGTCCACAATTAACAGATGCCTGTGTCCTGCACCCTTGTGCCCCTGGGCCCAGGGCACCCATGCTAGTAGTGGGAGGGAGGAAAAAAGCCTAATAATTTCATTTACATCATAATAGCTAGATATTAATTTGAGGGCTTTAGAATTTGGGGGCTGCACTGGAGAGAGGGGCACACACATAATTATTATTGTGCAGGATCAGTGGTTTACTTTTATAGAATTGTAGGATGGGGCACTCCCTGGTGGTGCAGCAGGTTAAATCACAGCCCTATGAAGCGATCTGCAGCCAATGAAGCACAAATTCTATCCCCGGCCAGGGAGTTGTCCCACATGGCATGGCAGGACTCTCCTGTCTCGCCCGCTGCTCCCAACATCAGTGTATTTCAGTAGATGTACCTGTTCTGCTCCCCACTCTGTCTCTGGGGGAATCCTCTCACCCCCATACCTCTGGCCTGTGCCCCAGTTCTTGTATGCATACATAAATATTTAAAAAAATGAAAGCATTGTAGGATGGGGAGAGAACTATAGAAGGATGTTTGAATAGTAGATCTATACTTGCAAAGACAAACAGTATACTGCCAGGTGCCTGGAGTTGTAGAGTAAAACATTTACTACCTTGACAAGGTTAGTTAGATGACAGCAAACAGTCTTTGCAACTGCCAGCACAGAGTCTGTTTAAGTTGGTAATTGTTGTTTGAGCTTGGGGCTCCCACATGTAAGGTCTGAATATAGGGAAGACTAGATTGGCATACCTGTGCCTCTTATATGTAGAAGAGGACATTCTGTGCATCTGGTGGCAGCATTATACAAACAACTGTCCACTATAACCCAGACCCAAAGCTGACATAACTATATACTATAAATTAACTAGACTTGAATATAGTTGGCAGCAGAGGTAAATGCCTAGGGGCAGGTCCACAATCCAAATGCAGCGGTAACAAAGCTTGGCTAAGTACCTGTCCAAACTTTACAACCGTCCTGGTGCTACAACTTCTGTGGGATTATTGAGGAAGGTGTAGGGAGTCAGTCTTTTGTGAAAGACAAATGTAAATAAGAAACACACACAACTTATTTGCCAATATCTAGAACCAGGATACTACCCTGTGTGAAGCGTGAACTAGTAGCATTTGGTTCATGCAGCTTCTTAAATGTGGGAATGGGGGAGGGAGTGGTCTTAGAATTGCATACAAGAGATCAACCACAGCTGAGTGGTTTATAACCTGAGATTATTGAGACACTTTGTAGAGTTGGACTAGGGGAAACAGTCACTGTAGACTCCCACTACCCAACATGGGCAGCTGCAGCATGATAGGATGCTAGAAATATAGGTACTTACTAGCCTCAACCTCTTGATACCTGGCTATCTTGGTTCCTATTTTCTTCCCCCTGCTGGCACTAGAGTTCCTGTTATTTCAGTAGGTGCAGAGGTGTCAGTCTATGAAGCCATAGATTTCAAAAATCTTGAAAATAACCTAGAATTATATCCTGCAACCTATAAATGTAATGTAAGGCCAACTCATTGAAATAAGGAAAGAAAGTTTTTCACCTCAACTCATAAAAGTAAAAAATGAAGAGATGGGAAAATAGAATTAAAATTGTAACAGACCTTTGGGACAACTTAACAGGGAAATGATATACATACTACAGGAGCCCATGAGGATGATGCATGAGAAAAAAATATTTTAATAAACAATACCCAAGAATTTCCCTAATCTGGGAAACTTGAAATCCTGATCCAAGAGGCCTAGGGAGTCTCAAACAAAAGGATACCACTCCCCCACACAGGGCATTTTATAATCAAGTTGCTAAAAATGGTAACAAGGAAAGGGTACTAAAAGCATGCAGAGAAAGGAGTTACCTGTAAGGAAACACTTGCTAGATTATTGGCAGTTTTCTCAGTGGAAATCTCCCAGGGAAATAGAGAATGACAGTAAATATTTAAAACAATCAAAGAAAAGGACAGTCAATCCAGAACATTTTATTCAGATATAATAAAGGAAGGATAAGAAGTTCATTAGAAAAATGAAACTGTAAAGATTGTATCACCACCATGCTGGCTTTGAAAGGAATATAAAGAGACTAGTACACAACAAGTGAACTCCACCTAGATGTAATCAGCACAAAAATTACACAGTGTGTATGAGAAGAATAAAAATCTCAAGCCATCTAAACAAGTTTGAGAGCAAACTATTCAGTAAATTATAAGTATAGGTGATTAAGTTTAAAATTCAGTATTACCTTCAAATGAAAAAAGATAGACTTAACACATAAAACAATAGAAATTAAACCCAAATAAAACATAAAGGGAAGGTGTCAAAAAATAGACAACCTATAAATAAAAGTGAGAAAAAGTAATAAATATATTTATTTCAATAATTACATTAAATATAAATATCTTGAGTTCAGCAATTAAGAGAGTGGCTGAATCACTCACAAAGCAAACTCTTAAACTTTTGTTGTTGTTGTTCTTAGGAAACCCACTTTAGTACTAGAGACAAACATAGGTTTAAATTTAAAGTCTTAAAGATAAATCTACAGGCACTCTCTTTAGTATTTCTTTCAAGGTCAGCATGGTGGTGATACAGTCATTTCATTTTTGTTTTTCCATAAGCCTTCTTATCACTCCTTTATAAGCAAGTGGTAATCAAAAAAGGCAAGAAAGCTATACTTAGAGAAAAGATTTCCAGTTAAAAAGGAAATAAGAGAGTGATGGACATTTTATAATGATGCAGAGCCCATTATAACAAGAAGATATAGTACTTATGAATGTACCAAATGATGGAACATAAATATATGTACAGTAGCTATTAATAGGTTTAAAGAGAAATATTCACTACATAAAAGGGATTTTAAGCCTCCATTTTCAATTTAAACAATTCAACAAAACAGGGAGTACACAAGGAAACAATAGCTTTAAATTAAATTATGACCTAATTAGGAGGTTAAATGGTTGTCTATCAAATATTCCAAACCAAAATAAGCAGTCTCAAGTGCACATGGAACATTGTCAAGAGTAGACCCCATGTTGGGGTATATAAACCTATAAATATTGAAATCATGCCAAGCTTTGTTTCTGATCACGATACTTTAGTACTAGAACTGAAGTACAAATACTCAGTAATAAAGTTAATCAAGGAGTAAAAGACCTGAAAGCTGAGCACTATTAGATATTAATGAAGAAAATTGAAGATGTCACAAATATATGGAAAGCTATTCTTTGATCATAGATCAGAAGAATTAATACTATAAAAATGCCGTGCTGCACAAATTTATTAGTGTGATACCTATCAAAATTCAAGAGCCATTTTTCACAGAAATAAAAAAAATTAGTTCTAAAATTTATATTGGCACGTAAAAGATTCTGACTAGCCAAAGTAATTTTGAGAAAAATGAACAAAACTGTGGGCAGCACATTCCCTGATTGCAAGATTTATTGCACAATTTATAGTACTTAAAACAATATGGTGTTAGCATAAAAGACACACATCTACAGAAAGAGAACAAAGAAACAAACTCATGCATATCAGATCAATTAATTTATGACAAAGGATACTAGAAATTGCACTGGAGAAAGTACTCTTTCTTTAGCAAACGGTACTGGATATACTGATAGCCACAAGCAAAATAATAAAACAGGCTATTATGCCATATATAAGCATTGATTAAAAAGTGCATTAAATACTTGAAATTAAGACCTGATACCATAAAACTCCTGGAAAAAAACAGGTATTAAGGACTTGATGTTGAACTTGGCAATACTGTTTTGGAACTATCAACCAAAGCAAAAAGAAGGGAGACTATATAAAACTCAAAAGTTTATCCACAGCATAGGAAACCAATAATATGAAATGGCAACCTACCAAATGAGAGAAAACATTTGCTTATCATGTCTTCTAGGTGGTTAATATCATTTAGAACTTAGATAACTCAATAGTAAAAGTGCCCAAACAATCTGATGTAAAAATGGGCAGAAGATCCTAATATATACGTTTTTGTTTTTTTCAAGGAAGACATACATGTTGGGAACCAGCCTCAACTATCCAGGTGTTGGAAGGTGAGACAGGCAGGGCCCTAAAGTGGGAAGGCATCAGCGAGCAGAGATTCCAAAAGGCGGGAGGAGAGTGGGGCGAGGGGAAGACATGGGAGTCACAGTTGGGTGCAAGCCTTCCTGTTCATTCCTTCAGCAGGTCTTTATTTATACTGTGTAGCAAGTAGTTAATTGCAATAATGCATAGGGTAAGTTAATGAGAGATTGCCATAAATTGTCATAAACGTTCTCAAGGATAAGGGGAACAAAGTATTTTTTTCTTAACATTTTATGTACTCTAAATTATACATTTTTGTGATAATTGTCATGTATACAGATATTTAGCTATAACTCAAGGGAAGAGGGATGAGCTTGTTAGTAAAAAGTTATTAGGGGTCTTAGGGAAGTAATAAATTATGTTAACAGTGTTATCAGTGATTTCTAAAGAAAAGCTAATGGCTAATTTAAGGCTAGCAGAGAGTAGTTAGTGCTTGTTTTAAAAAGGAGTAAATTAAGAGAAAGTCGTACAGTTGTGTACTAAGCAACACCTGTGTAAACAAGGTTAAAAATTGTCCAGGAGTCCTTATGCCCTGGAAGTCTTATCTGAGATTTGCTTTTTATTTAAAGAAACCAAGGAAGCTTCCCAGGAGTTTTTATGCCCTGGGGTCTTATTTCTCCTGGGGCTTGCCTTTTGTCCCAGGAGACAGGAATTTCTCACCCTGGGGCAGCTTGGCTGGGCCAGGGAGCCACCTTATGAGGCTAAATAAATTCAGTTGTAAACTGATGGTTGCTCAGAATATTTTGATATTATGATTATACAAAAAAGGGAGGTCGTAACATAAGTTAGCAGTGGAAATTCTGATTTTTTTAGAACTTTTCCTTTTCTATCCAGAATTTGTCAGTCGATAGAAGTTGCATAGCTTGTGCCACATATAGAAGGCAAACAGCTACAGGAAGGGTTTTCAATATCACTAATTATCAGGTAAGTGTAAATCTACAATAAGATATGACCTAGCATTTGTTAGAATGGATAACATTAAAAAAACAGGAAATAACAAATATTTTTTAGGATGTGGGGAAAGGAAAACTTTGTGCACTGTTGATGGGAATGTAAATTGGTGCAGCCACTATGAAAATAGTATGTCAGTGCCTTAACATATTATAAATAGCATTACCACATGATGCAGCAGCTTTACTTCTTGGTATCTGAGAAAAATGAGAATACTTAACTTGAAAAGATATACGCATCACATGTTTTCCTGCAGCATTATTTACAATAGCTACAACATGGAAGCAACCTAATTATCTAGATTAATGAATATAGAAATGTGTTGTTGTTGTTGTTGTTGTTTCTGTCCTACTTGAAGTTCAACATGGGTGAACTCTGAGGACATTTAACTAAATCAGATTAGTCAGAGAAAGACAAATATTACAGTCTCACTTACATGTGGAATAAAAAAATAAAAATAAATAAATAAAAGACACCTCCCAAGTTCACAGATACAGAAAACAGTTTGGTGCTTGCCAGCAATAGGAGGTGATTATGGTTGAAATAGCTAAAATAAGATAAACATCATGAGGATGTTATTACAATATGATGACTGTAGTAAGTAGTAATACATTGCATACTTGAAAGTTGCTGAGGGAGTGGATCTGAAAACTTACCACAGGAAATGAAAAGTTTGTAACTATGTAAGTTAACTGTACATCAGTTGGTATGGTGTACAAATCTCAAATCCCTGTGTTCTACACCTGAAACTAACTTAATGTTATATGTTTAAAAAATTGTTTCCCTGAAGCTACCAGAGAGGGAGAGTGGTGAAGACTAAAGTGAGCAAGATGCACAGGGGACTATTGTAGAGGACTAGGTGTGTCATGGTTGCTGGTGTGGCATGGTAGCATACACCTGAAGGGTGTGATTCTATGCTTCCTTATCATCTACAATGTTATAAGCCAACATTACCACAACAAAAAGAAATCCAAAATAATTTTTTTAAAAAGATTTATTTATTTGTGAGTACAGAACAGGGGTACAGGCCAGAGGTTCAGGGACGGTGAAAGGATTCACCAGAGACATAATGGGGAGCAGAACAGGTAGATCTACGAGGTACACTGCTGAGGAGCAGCTGGCGGGCCAGGAGAGACCTGCGGTATCATGCGGATCACCTCTGGGCAAGCGGGGATCAAACTCATGTTTCTTAGTGCTGTGCTTCTTAGTGCATGTTAGTTTCTTAGTGCTGTGCTTTAACCCACTGTGCCACCAGGGAGGGCCCCAAAATAAATTTTAAGAATCATTTTGCTGAGTACTAAAGAAAAAATAACTTGAATAACAAAATTTACCAAACAGACCGTGGAACAGTTTACTATCAGCAGTAGAATACACATTCTTTTCAAGTGTATCCAAGCATTTGCTATGATTATATTCTGGACTATAAACATGTTTCAGAATTGTAAGTTTTAAAATCATTTAAAGAATGCTATCTGACTATAATAAAGTGAGAAGCCTATACTAGAAATATATTTTAAAAAACCTTGAACATTTCAAATCTTAATAACATAGTTTTGGATAATCTATTGACTAAACAAATTATCAAAAAGAAATTAGACAACATTGTTAATTGAATAAAAATGAAAACCTGGCATTTTCCAGTTCATGGGATGCAGCTCAAGCATTGCCATCAAATACAGGGAAATATATAGTAGAATTTACCAAAAAAAAGAAAAGAAAGAAAAAGAAGATGCTTATTTTTTAAAAAAAGCAAGGTTTCATATCAAGTGACCTAAATCCTAAATTTCAGCCTTCAGAAACTAAAAAAAGGGACTCAGTTAACTCAAAGTAAGTGGAAAATTAGAAGCAATGAGGATAAGAGTCAAAGTCAGTGCATAGGAAAAGAAAAACATAGTGCAAGGAATCATTGAAACTATATGCTCTTTTGTTTGAGATTATTGAACTGATGAACCTACAGTCAGGCTGCTCAGGAAAAAGAAAACATAAATTGATAACATTAAAAGAGAGAGAGAACATGACTACAGTGTCTACAGATATTGAAAGGATTATAAAAGAATGTCACATCTGTATAGCTTGAAACTCAACAATTTAAACAGACATATCCTTTAAAAGACTCAAATGACCATCTCATACCAGTGAGAGTGGCTCATATTAAAAAAAACTAGCAACAACAATTGTTGGTGGCGATGTGGAAAAAAGGAACTCTCCTGCATTGTTGGTGGGAAAGCAAACTGGTCCAACCACTATGGAAAGCTGTTTGGAGTTTCCTCAGACAACTAAAAATGGAGCTTCCAAAAATTCCACTTCTAGGTATCTACCCAAAAGACACAAAAACAATAATTCGAAAGAACACACACATATATGTTTATTGGTCCCCTGTTTACAATATGGAAGATACAGAATCAACCCAAATGCCCAAAAAATAGATGACTGCAGCAAGAAGATATGGTACACAATGGGATATTTCTTACAATCAAAAAAGATAAACTCATTCCATTTGTGGTAACATGGATGGAAATGGAAAAGACCATGCTTAGTGAAATAAGCCAGAAAGAAAAAGAAAAATACCGGATATTTTCACTCATAGCAGGAGTATAAGGGATCAGGAATATATATATCTGTAGAGAGAGACAGAGACAGAGGAAGTGGGGGGAGAGAGAAAGAGAGATTGTAGTAAAGTAAAAAAGAACACCACTAACAACTATAAACCAAGACATTATATGGGGGAGGAGAGGGGAACAGGATCAAAATGGATGGGAAGAACACATGGGACTATGGTGATGGCACATGGGTGACGTGGTGGTGGGAAGTACATGGGGATTACAACTGAGATGGAAAAATGTGCAAAATAAAGAAAAATGTGTATACATGTGTATACACACACACATAAATTTCAAAAAGACTCAAACTACCTAAGTTCTTTCAAGGAAACATGTATGCTGAATGTATGTGTATTTATCCTTACTAAACTTAATAAAATATATATAATTAAAAAATTTTCCAGAGAGTAATTCTGGTGAGTGAAGAAGCAGGTTGCTATGATGTGCTCTACCTATGGAGAGGGACATTGATCAGTGAACTTTGTTGATTTCTGGAAGCTGAGGCTTTCTGTATTACAAATGTTAAGGAACTGAATTGTCCCGGCAACCAAAAGATCTTGAAGAGAATCCTGAGCTCTGGATGAACTCTGAATGAGAATCTGGACAGTTTCTGATTGCAGCATTGTAAGAAACAGGACAGAGAACCCAGTTAAGCCACGTCCAGATTCTTGACCAATAGAAACTGAAAAATGAATTTGATAAAAGATTGGAGATTGGTGTATGTGGTAGACTGCTTCCTGATAACTTGCACCTCAAGGACATTATCAGGCACAGTATGATTTATGACTATGATTATTGTGTTTTATTAGGGTGTACATTCACACTTATTTATTTTACAAATACATTTTTGTATTATTTGTTGTTTTGTACATTATTTTCATCTCAGTTGTAATCACCGTGGGCTTCCCACCACCACTTTACCCATGTGCCATCACCATAGTCCCATGTGCTTTTCCCACCCCAGATTTGATCTTGTTTCCCTCTCCTCCCCTCTAGAATGTCTCTGGTTTATAGTTCCCTTACACTCCTACTATGAGTGAAACCATCCACTATTTTGCTTTTTCTTTCTGGCTTATTTCACTAAGAATGATCTTTTCCATTTCCACCCATGTTGCCACAAATGGCAGTAGTTTACCTTTTTTGATTGCTAAGTAATATTCCATTGTGTATATGTACCATATCTTCTTGATCCATTCATCTACTTTTGGGCATTTATTTGGGTTGGTTCTGCATCTTCCCTGTTGTAAATAGGGCAGCAATAAACATAGGGGTCAGTGTTCATTTGAATTACTGTTTTTGTGTCCTTTGGGTAGATGCCTAGGATCATATGGAAGCTCCATTTTTAGCAGTCTTTGGAACCCTCAAACAGCTTTCCATACAGAAAAATTACTTCAAAATTGATTAAAAATATGAATAAA